CTGCGCCTTCTGTCATTAAAGGCGAACGAGCCACAGTCACGCTGAGGGCGCCTGGGGCCCCCCGCCTTTAAGAACGGCCGGAGGGGCCCCACTGAGTCACACGAACTTGACTTGGGGCCCCTCAGGCGCTCTTAAGGGCCCCCCGTGGGGCCCCCCGAAGCCAAAAGAAGGGCTGGGGGCCCCCCTACTGGCGGGCTCCCTAGCTGCAGCATGCTGCAGACGTAGAGCCCCAGCCAGCCCATAGGGCCCCGGGGGCCCCTCTGGGCCCCCTGGGGGCCCCTCGGGGGGCCCGGGGGGCCCCTCTAGAGACGCTTATGGCCCCTTTGGGGGCCCCTAGCGAACCCTGAGTTGCTCTTTAGAGCTGCTTGCCAGAGCTTCTCACAGGAGCAAATCAGGGCCGTTCCGGGGGCCCCGGCAACAGCCACATGGTACTGCAGCAGGGGACCCCTGGGGACCCCTGCTGCAGTACCCGCAGTCTCTTAACGCCTCTCTAAGGCAGTCTCCCACAACTGGGAGGCCCCTGAGGCTCCCCAACGTTCAAGGGGCCCCCATAAGCCCTGGAACGTTCTAGGGGCCCCCAAGTGCCAAGGGGGCCCCTTCCCAGTGCCCTCGGGGGTCCCCAAGGCCACGGGGTCCCCTGCAGCCTTGGAGGTCCCGGGGCCCCCCAAAGCCCCCTAGAGCCCCAGGAAGCTCCCTGAAGCCCGGGGGGCCCCCAGAGCCCCAGAGGGCCCCCCGGAGCCCCCGGGGGGCCCCCAGAGCCCCGGGGGCCCCCCGTAGTTTTGTGTTGTTTGGTGGCTAGAGGGGGTCGTCGCCTATGAGGAAGTCAATGAGCATTCCTACGAGGTACACGTTGAGGCTGTCGCCGATCATGCGTCGGTGCTGCAGCTTGTCTTCAGACAACTGCTGCTGCTGCTCCTGCTGCTGCTGCTCCTGCTGCTGCTGCTTCTGCTGCTGCTGCTGCTGGTCTTTGAGCGGGGCTGCGATGCTGAACCAAGACGGGAAGCCGTGGAGGTTGAGCTGCTCCCTAACAGAGAAGAAGCGGCACCGCGTGCTGCTGGGCAGGAGGTCATGCAGCTCGACAGTGCGCTTCTGCTGCTGCTGCTGCTGCTGCAGCAGCTCCCTTGGGTTGTCCAGCAGCAAAATGCTGCCGTACTGGGCCAGGCAGCTCCTACCGTAGTTCCGCGTGAAGCAGCTGCTGCGCGTGCTGCTGCGGCTGACGAGGTCCACCATATGCCAGGACTTTCTTTTCTGCTCTGCACTTAACTCCAGCGCTGACAGCCGCTGCTGCTGCTGCTGCTCTTGCTGCTGCAGCTGCTGATCCTGCTGCTGCAGCTGCTGCAACTGCTGCGGGTTTTCCTCCCCGGCAGCATCTGGTGAAGGGGCAAAGGCAGAAGGGTGCTCTTCGCTTAAGCTGCGCCACTCACAAACGCTGCTGCTGCTGCTGCAGGTGCTGCTGCTGCAGCAGGTGCTGCTGCTGCTGCGAGGAGGCAGCGAGTGCTCAAGAAAGGCCTCGAGGGGCCAAATGGGGCAGCAGTAAAACGCCTGCGAGGAGTAGAGCCCTGGGATCCGATCCAGGGGCACTGGCCTCCTGCTGCTGCCGGCAGCAGCAGCAGCTGCTGCACCGGGAGCAGCAGCAGCAGCAGCTGGTGCTGCTGCTGCTGTGTAGGGCGCTGCGTCCCGCAGCCAACGCGCGTACTGCCCGTCCGACGGGTGGGCCCTTCTCGCCAAGAGGAAGCATCTGCTGCGGCAGTTGGGGAGGCCGAAGTGTATGGGATTGAGCAGCAGCAAAAAGACAGTTTCATAGTTAAGCTTGTCTATGAGGGTCTGCAGCAGCAGCTCGCAGGCGTTGCTCCGCTCGAAGCCGGCGACGTTCTCCAGCAGCAGGAAGCGCGGCGCCGCCTCCGCGGGCAGCTGCTGCAGCACCTGCAGCAGCTGCAGCAAACTGCTGCAGCGCAAGTCCCCGCAGTCTGCCTTTAGCCCCCGACGGGCAAATGGCTGGCACGGCGGAGCCAGCAGCCACAGGGGCCCCCGCAGCAGCTGGAAGAAGGACAGGGGCAGCCGGCCAATGTCTGCGCTGAGGCACTTGGGGAGGGCCCCCTCAGCAGCAGCAGCAGCAGCAGCAGCTTGGTGCTCCGGCCGCTGCTGCTGCTGCTGCTGCGGCAAGCGGCAGAAGTTCCCGCGGTACACAGCGCATGCGGAGTCGCTGATGTCCACGGCCGCAACCAGCTGGAAGGGAAGCTCCCCGCTGCTGCTGCTGCTGTGCGGTGCAGCAGCTTGGGCTGCTGCTGCTGCTGCTGCTGCT